TGTCATCCTTCTGTCATCTGTCCTGCATGGAGTTAGTAGCCTCCAATTGGTGCCCTTGCACCTGGTCGTGCCCTCCTCATCCCAGTCTTTCCACCCACAGCCATCAGAGTAGCCTTTCTAAAATGTACATGTGATATTGTCACCCCACCATTTGACATCCTCTGGCCCCTCCCCACAGTTGACCTTGAGATAAAGGTCAAATGCCTGATGTGGTTTCCAGGGCCCAACTTGACGGCTCTCATCTCCCAGCGGCCTCACTCTTGAGCCTCTTCTTTCTCCAGTCTCCACCTGTGCACTCTGTACTCAGCCATCAGGTGTTCCTTCATTTCCTCAAAGGGAAGCCTTGCTCTGCTCTCACGTGCCCAAATCTTTGCCTCTGCTTGGAGCACTAGCCTCTACTGTCCCTCGCTGAGCTAACTCATCCTGCAGATCTCAGTGTGGCCGTTTCTTCCCTTCCTTTGGGAAGTTTTGCTGACCTCCAATATTCTCCCTACCACTGTATAGAAGTCTGTCCACAGTACCTCCACTGCCCACTCTTCCTTTCCCGTTGCTGGACTTACCACACTGTGGACAGCTCCCTGTTGCCTGCTGTTCTCCCCACTAGACTTTAAGCTCTGTGAGGTCAAGGGGCATGTCCATCTTGCTCATGTAGAACTCCAGCACTCTCAGAGTTAAATATCATCAGATGAAAATGGCAAGCCATGTTTGCCTCTGCATTTTAAAGGTGTTTGGCAAAGTCGGCTGAAAAGTGAAATGGGCAACAAAATGAAACCATTATCGTTGGACCCAAGAAGCCGAGGCCAAAATACCTGGGACTCCTGTTTTTCCAGTGGCCTCTTAGAAGCCTGAGGGAACCATCTGGCATTCCTGACCAACCCAAGTCCCCAGGTCTGTGTGTCCACAAGGGACTAATTATACTTCACTTCAGAAATTATTTAACCGTGGAACTCCCTGTACTATCAACAAACATAGAGGACCAAAATATTCCTAGTCTCTAAGATGGATTTGTACGAGACTGAAATACCTTCCAGTATTTACAGTTTGTTTTGTGATTTTTGAACAATGGAAAGATGGTATTTCCACATTCAGTAATGGAAAAAGGTATTCGGAGTTCTGTTTTTGTTCAAGCGTTGCACGTTTCCTGCCAAAAATATTAATTAACTACAGTGCTTTTTAATGTGTTGATCAAGTTTGGGCTTTATTCCTATTTGGAGAAAAATGAAAGCTGGGGTTGAGTTGAATCTTTGTCGTCTAGAACTGGATATTTTTGACCAACTCCATAAATTTTTTTTTTTGAGGATTTTAGACGATAAAACAGATTTTTTAATCTAGTTTTTTAAGGTAGTTGTCTCCCATTCTTAGCCCTCTTCATTATACAAAACAAGTTTTTTGTTTGTTCGTTTTGTTTTAAACCGGTTTGGTATATGTCAGGTGGTTACTTGCTGGTTAGTCTGAGAGCTAATAAGAAATGGGTATTTGGATTTAATTCAGTTCCATTAGGACAGATTTAAATTTTTGTGATACAAGGACTATTATTCTGGCAGTTGTAAGGGATTTTTGTGCTAGGAAGCAGTGCTGACAAAGACAGCACTGTGCACGCGCCATCTATAACTGAGCACTTTCACACTGCAATTTAGGAGGTGTGCAGTTCAGGAAATTGCTGGCTTTGGCTGGAGCATACTTTTACTGCAAGGAAAATTTTATTCGTCACTCAAGTAATTGGCAGTTTTAATACCTTGTTCATAATTACCTTATAAACAAACGAATATATAAACCAAAGATTGTATGGTCTGTTATCTAACTTGTAGCCTTATTTGACCAATGTGATAGACACCTGTGGGCCTCCCCGCCCCCACCACCAACTGATTTGCTTTATTTGTTGCACACATCCATAGCTGAGTGTTTTGTTTTTGTTGTTGTTAAATACAAATGTAGCTATACGTGCCTGAGACAGCCTGGGGACCAAAACCAGATGCAAAGTTTGAAGGGAGATAGGGCTAGGGATGGGGGAAGGGATAGAGGGAGGGGCACTCGGGCACTTCAGAGTGACTCTAGTGTTTGTAGGAGGACATCCTGCTAATGCAAACATTTGGATTATGCATTTAAGAGAAAACTTTGGTCCCCTAGAGCAGTGTGGTTTTATTTAACCCACACACCCTGACCCTAAGGCCTTGTGGCTTGTCTCCTGGATGGAATCCATCTCCGGGACCTAGGAATTGACTAATTGTCTCACTTGCATTACCCTATACCTCACAGCTAGATCAAGGACTTTATACGCAGGCAAATCCAGATGTGGGAAATGGTCAAAATCAGAGGTCATGGCTGACTTGACTCTAAACAAAAGCCTGTGAGACTTTATGGGAATCTGAAGGGCTTGATATTCATTTGTGACTTGTACGTAGTACTGCTGAATCATCTCTTTTTTAAAACTTTACTATCATCATAAAGTTCAGCTCTTAAGATATACATTGTCTATGCTAGTTACCTGACATTAGATTTTCTGATGACTTGGATTTTAAAGTTGGAAAAAGACAATCCACCCACAGTCCTTAAAAATACTATGCAGAAGGGTTTTAACAATATTTCGAGAAGCTTTCTGAATTTGTTCTTTAAATATAAAATGTATGCCCGTTTTCTCCCCTTATTCTCTTGTGAAGAAGGTAGCACCTGACAGAAAGTCAGCCATCTGACGCTAGTAGATGGTAAATACATGCAAGCCCCGGGGCCGCCTCTCACCTGCAAAGTGGGCAAGCACAGATTGGGAGGGCCTCTGTTCTGTGGCATTCTTAGTGTTGGCATGATGATGGCTCAGTGAGCCAGGGTAGATTCCCAGATCAGTTTAAAACCAGAAGTTCAGCATTTTTGCAAGGTGGGAAGTAGGGGCCTTTTCAAGGGAGGTACATATCTGTATAAGAAATTAAATGCCAGAGTATCTTTCATACTCTGTATTCTATGAAAGAAGCCTTAAGGGATTGCTTCAGGAACAATCGGGCTTATTCTTTGAGCTGATCGGGAATGCTTGAACTTGTTAGGTGAAAAGCCCTAGTTTTAAAATGTTTTGTTATGTCTGTACCAGAGAAATGTTATTATCATTAAAGGGTGTAATATATGAAAAGAGTTTAGCAAAGGGCTTGGCACTTAATCGATCCTCAATATTATTAGATTTTATACACATTCTAAGGGTGATACATAGAGAGAATTCTGCTTCTAAGAATATCTCAGTATGGCAGAGAAGACCAGTGGTGTAAGTTCAACATCAGCTTGCAGCACAAGATTTTGTGAAAATATATAAGAGGTACACCTCGCTTGGAAATCTACTGTGATAGTGAGAGACCGATGAGTTAAAATAATGCAGAAGAGCTCAGAACACTATAGAAATCCAGTTTTGGGTACAAAAAACACACAAGATATATTTTGCAAGTTTTCTTTTTAGTTGAAGATTAACTGCAGACCATGTACAAACATCAGTGTGTGACTTACATAAGACACAGAATTCTGTTTAGAGCATTCAGATTGTTTCATTGTTCCTTGCATCGTAAAGAGGAGAACTTTCTATGATTTGTAGATATCCTTTCTACCTTAATGTTATTTTCTCCTGCCAAAAGATGGTCTAAAAAAGACCAAACTTCCTGATCTAATGTGACAAGATGGCTTGCACATCCATTTGATTGCTGTTTTAACAAAATTGTCATTTAATGCTGCATTTTCCCTCAGGAGTTACTATATTGATTGATGACTTTTTAAGAACTTTGAAATGGCCTCTTTTTTTTTCTGTTTGTTTCTTTCCATTTGTTCAGTAGAACACTCACCAATAGAACTTTACACAATGGTAGAAGCATTCTGTATGTGTGCCGTACCATTTGATAGCTACCAGGACTGTATGGCTATTGAGCACTTGAAATGTGGCTGCTGTGACTAAGGAGCTAAATGTTAGCATTTAATTTGAATTAATTTAAATTTAAAGAGGCTGGCTCGTGGCTGCCATACTGGACATCATGGTCTGATGTTTAAGACTTTTAATGTAAAACATGTTTTGATCTAATTATGCCAAGGGATTATTCAAACTGGAGTGCTCTTATGTAATACTTTTGTACTATTGAAAGGACTGGAGCATATTCATTGATATTGAAGACTATGGCAGTGCCTTGAAACTTGCTGTTTCTTAAAGAAAAGGGGATCTCTCTAGAATGGTTCTAAAAAATCCCCAATCTGACAAGTATTTTAAATTCATTAGCACCTGTAATATGGGCACTTTTCAACAGAAGAATCAGAAATAGATTAGGAATCAAGAAGGAGGAACAGGGAATTAACTCATCAGTGCCTGGTATGCCACCTTGGTTGTTAGGCATTTTGTATACCATTTAATAAGGAGAAGGGAGAAGAGCTGTTAAGAAAAATAGCCAGGTGTGGTGGCTCACACCTGTAATCCTAGCACTTTGGGAGGCTGAGGCTGGAGGACTGCTTGAGGCCAGTAGTTGAAACCAGTCTAGACAACATAGTGAGACCCCCACTGTACAAAAAATTAGCGAGGTGAGGTGGCACTTACCTGTAGCCCTAGTTACTTGGAAGCTGAGGTGGGAGTGTTCCTTGAGCCCAGGAGTTTGAGCTGCAGTGAGCTATGAGTGTGCCACTGCACTGTAGCCTAGGTGACAGAGTGAGACCCTGTCTCTAAAAAATAACAATAAATAAAAAAATTTTTTAAAAAGAAAAATAGAATAAAGAAACATCCAACCGTTGTCTTTAAGTGCATAGCATTTAGACAGCCATAGCTGCTAAACAGTACCCCAGATTTATATAGGAATGTTTTCCACATATTCGAATATTATGATTTATAATTTAATGAGTAACTTAAAATGGCCATGGTATTGCTGTTTAACTTTTAAAAGTACTGTTTAGTCAGTTCCATATTTCTGAAGAACCAGTCAGGAATAGAAAATATTTGTCTTCTTTCAGATTGTTGCACCATTAACCTTGTTAACGGTGCTTTCTTTTAATTCTAGGGCTGGAAACAGGATTGTTGAAATACTACCTGAACATCTGAAAGAGTTTCAGTCCCTTGAAACTTTGGACCTTAGCAGCAACAATATTTCAGAGCTCAAAACTGCGTTTCCACCCCTACAGCTCAAATATCTGTAAGTGAAGTTTTCTTTAGCAAAAACTTTCACCTGTAATGAAAATATTATAATGAAAAAATATAACAAACTTTGTCTACTTTACTACTGATGGATCAAAAGTATAATTTATTGACTTGAAATTTGCTGTAAGCTTGAACGACCACAATCTGCAGTTTATTCTTATACTTTCAGGTTATAAAAAAATTACATATTTTTTATTAGAAAACCTAGATGGTGTGAAAAGTGCTCATTTTTTTAAAAAAATCAAAATCAGACCATTGCTGTGTATTATTAATAAATGAATGTCCTAAAAAGTGGATATTTATAAAAAAAAAGTTGCATCCGTCACATATTTTAATCACTGTTTTCCCAGCAATATGTGTGAATCTTAGCATCTGTCCTTGAGGACCTAAAAAGTAATTTTTTTAAGTTTCCGTTGATGGTTAGGTTCTCTGGAGACTACTTTTTTTTTTTTTTTTTTTTTTAATTATACTTTAAGTTCTAGGGTACATGTGCATAACGTGCAGGTTTGTTACATATGTATACTTGTGCCATGTTGGTGTGCTGCACCCATCAACTCGTCAGCACCCATCAACTCGTCATTTACATCAGGTATAACTCCCAGTGCCATCCCTCCCCTCTCCCCCCTGGAGAATCCTTCTAATACAGAGATGGCCTGCACTTTAACTTGCAAATAAATCAGAAGGAGAAGCTCATCTTTAAACTTTCAACAGGTATCTCAACAGCAACCGAGTCACATCAATGGAATCTGGGTATTTTGACAGTTTGGCCAATACACTCCTTGTGTTAAAGCTGAACAGGAACCGAATCTCAGCTATCCCACCCAAGATGTTTAAACTGCCCCAACTACAACACCTGTAAGTAAAATGTTCTCTTAGATACTGTTTCTCACCTCCCCCAAACCCTTGGTGTCTATTCCTTAAAATCCACAATGTGGCAAAAAGGAGTTTAGAAACAAGAATGTAGCTGCCTTTCCTTTGAGAATTGGAGCTATAGAATCTCCAAATTGGAAAGAGTCTTAAATGTCACCTCGTCACCTCCTCACCTTGTGCCAGCTGCTGCTTGACAAGACACGTTAGATTGTTACTGAAAGAGTGAACAGTGTAATCATTGACCAACGCCGGCACAAAAGTGCCATTGTGGCACTGAAAACATCCGCGGTCTCTCAACAGCTGTGGTTTATGAGAATAATACCGGCAACTCCAGGAGTCTCTGATAGCTTAAGTGGCTGTAAAGATCTGTCTCGTTAATAATGGTAGAGCGATCTGTGAACAGACTCCTGCAATAGTGCAACTTTGGCTGCACATTGCAAACATTTGGGGAGCTTTTAAAAATCTCACTGCCCAGGCCACACCCTAGACCTCTGGGGGTCAGATCCAGGCTTCAGAAATTTTTAAAACTCCCAGCTTGGGTCCAGTATGCAACTAAGGCTGAAAACTACTGCCATAAAGAGAAAGCATTAAACCTAAAAAGAATAGTGAAAGATAGTAACCAACTTGTAAACAGATCGTACAGGATAAATTTGAGGCCCAGCTCCTTATAGACCTCATATTTTAGTGTAACATTTAATAATCTCATTCTGGATTGTTTAAAAACAAATCTTAATTTGTTTGTGTCTATCCTGAGTGGACAAGACTTTAGACATTGAAATGCAGTCTAGTTTCAGTATTTTATTATTCCAAAAACACATGACCCATTTCAGTAGGAAATTCACTCCCTGCTTAACAAATTGAAATTCTTTGCAATAAAAATGTTTAGAAACTGAAAACACTCTATGTAATTGAACACTGACTGGTTTAACTATATTGTAGTAATGACACATTTTATTACTACCTCCAGAATTTAATTGTCATGTAAGCTAACTCTTGTAATACTCAATGCAGCGAATTGAACCGAAACAAGATTAAAAACGTAGATGGACTGACATTCCAAGGGCTTGGTGCTCTGAAGTCTCTGAAAATGCAAAGAAATGGAGTAACAAAACTTATGGATGGAGCTTTTTGGGGGCTGAGCAACATGGAAATTTTGTAAGTGTGGGTTATCACAGTTCCTGCTCAGGTAATATGATCATAGAATGCTCAGTGTACATTCAGTAGGTCTTATGTGAAATCCTATGTTAAAAATCTCATCATCCACAATCTTATTTATAATGTAGTATTCAGTTTTGATTCAGGTAATGTGATCGATAATTTGTAAGTACCTAAATTTATAACCACCTAAATTATAAGAATATGTATTTTTTGTTGTTGTTGTTTGCTGACGTCTTCATATAACAAAAGCTTAAACATCTAATAACAGTAGGAATATGTAATAGGTTGTAATCATATGTCCCCTTTGAAGAGACTAGATAATGAAGTTTTGATCCTGCTTTTGATTCTTATTGTAAATGTAGGCACCTGGACCATAACAACCTAACAGAGATTACCAAAGGCTGGCTTTACGGCTTGCTGATGCTGCAGGAGCTTCATCTCAGCCAAAATGCCATCAACAGGATCAGCCCTGATGCCTGGGAGTTCTGCCAGAAGCTCAGTGAGCTGTGAGTTGCCTTTTATTCTCCTCAGGTTTGAGAGCAGGGATCATGCCAGGGCATGAGCTTCTTACCACTGATCTGTGAAATTTTCATAACAAAGTTTCCAAGGTGACAGCTTTTTTCACATACAACCTAGTCTTATTTTTGTTGTGGTAAGTTGAAGCCAATTCTGTTGCAGTTCTATGGCACATTGGCAAAAGCAATGATGGTTATTTTCAAGCAAAGAGAATGTACTGTTTTAATTCCTGAGATTAGAAATATTTACTTGGGTATTATTAAGGCAGAATTTAAAAATAAGGATTAGTGTAGCTCATACGCTACCTGTCTTTTGGAAAAGGAATCATTGCATTGAATTGAAAAATAAAAGCTATTGTTTGTTTTTCTCTTTTTTCTTTACAGGGACCTAACTTTCAATCACTTATCAAGGTTAGATGATTCAAGCTTCCTTGGCCTCAGCTTACTAAATACACTGCACATTGGCAACAACAGAGTCAGCTACATTGCTGATGGTGCCTTCCGGGGGCTTTCCAGTTTAAAGACTTTGTAAGTTAACACATTTTGCTGTCAGTACACGAACCTAATTGGTTCCTAAATGTGCCCACGTTTCTCCTAGCAGATTTCTTTTGTTGTCAAGGAAATGCGTACAGCCTCAGAAGTAGTGTCTTAATCTTTCCCAGATCAGTTTGATTAAAATGGATCCATTTCATCCATATGTGTTTCGTAAAGGGATTAAAAAGGACAGTAATCAGTTTGTTTTGGTGATTACAGTTAACCTTCTCAGGATCTCCAGGAAATTGGTAACTGCTTAAGAGGGAAACAATTTTAAGTCCACTAAGTTTTCTTTATAAAATGCAGATTAAAAATTACTTAGAGCACAAAGGTCTACAAAGGGCAATGAAGGAAGATACTGTTTATCATGCCGGTTATATCCTCAACCTGATCTCCGTCCTAAGAGAAAGAAAAGGGAGTTGAATTAATTGACCTTTGAAAAATTTCTCAAATGGTAATTTAAGGTTGTGCAATGGGCTTTTGATTTTTGCTCTGTCAGAAACTTTTGCTCTGTTCACGATGTGAAGCATTACATAATTGAAAGACATGCTGTATACTTTGGCGAACTTCTGCATGTGTGGTTGGAACAGTGGTTTTAAAGTTTAATGTATTTTTCAGACTGTTCAGATCTTTCAGAATGTAGTCATTTTGATAGAGGAATTAATAGGGCCAGTGTCAACTTTTTCTGATTTTAGGGGAAAACTTAAAATGTGGTTGAGGGAGTCAGGCAGGGTATAAGAAGTAAGTTGGAGAAAAAGAGTTTTCTATTGTTTTGAAAGAGGTGGAGATAATGTGGGAAATTAGGAGAAATTTTTTACAAATCATAAGCCACCTGGGGGGTGATATTAGGCTTTCTGAGCTTATCACTCTAAAGGGAATGCTTCTTTTAAAATTAGGGATCTGAAGAACAATGAAATTTCCTGGACTATTGAAGACATGAATGGTGCTTTCTCTGGGCTTGACAAACTGAGGCGGCTGTGAGTATGAATTGCCTCATAATTTAGCTCACTCTTCGATTTAAAAATTTTGTCTTCACTGAAGTCAGCTATACAAGTTGACATCATGAAGAGATGAAATCGGTGCTTAATCTGGTTACTACCCTTTATCCTCTCCCCAAATGCCTGCTGTTGCACGCGATATATACTATTAACTTTTTCTTCCTTAGGTGAAAGTGTTTTATTCAACACTCTAGTGTGTGTAATTTACTTTAATATCCTCATAATCATTTTCATCTATGTTGAGGGCTTAGACTTTTGGAATTATCATTGCGTAAAAGTTAGTGCATGCACTTCCACATTTTGAAATTCTCAATCTTGTACTGTCCTCGCAGGAATTTTTTTAATGAAGTAATCTAGTAGCGACTGATAATGCTGTGGTAGGTTACAAGCAAAACGGGATGAAAACATCTTATAATTAGCCATAAAACGGTCTTGCAGATGGTCATATTGCATGTTTTAAGCCAGCAGTATTCAAATTCACTTCCCTAGAGTCCTAAACTCCTGTGGATGGAGGGTATCCATAGAGAAGGAGGGGAAGGAGAAAACATTCACTATTATCTGCTCTGTTAGTGTTCTGAGACAGTTTACTTGAAATAAAGTCTCTGCCTCTTCCTAAAAGGACTCTGAAAAACAATTTAACTTAATCAGCAGAGTAACTTACTGAATACCTATTTTTGTTGGGCTCTTTGTTGAATGCTTTGAAAACCGTGTTGAACTACATTATTGAACTAGATGGCGTGGGCACATTTTTACAGGATATATTGTTTATTTGAAGAAAATGGAATTGCTCACACATAATTTAAAAAGCAGTTCTGTTTATGAGAGTTCCACCCCCAAAATGGCTTTTTAATTTAAGTGTTCCAATGTAATTTTTTTCCCCAGGATACTCCAAGGAAATCGGATCCGATCTATTACTAAAAAAGCCTTCACTGGTTTGGATGCATTGGAGCATCTGTGAGTAGCTAGAATTCAGTTACCCTAAAGAGAATCTCTGAGATGGTTTTTACTTATGTGTCATGAAAGATAAAACAAACTGGAATGTGATTTTGTTGGCATCCTTCCAGTTCCATAAAATATATTTAAACATCTCCCTATCTTTCTATCTCTTTCTCTGTCTACCTACTTACCTACCTACCTATATAGAAGTGTACAGGTATATGCTTTCCTTTGTATTTAAGGACAAAAGCTGTATCTCCTTAATGGGTTTTTAATTGTTTTTCTCAAACAGTGATTATTTATTTTTTTAAAAAACCTACTAGATGTAGTTCGTTCACTATATGTCAGGTATGGTACCACATATTCACATATGTTGTCTCACTTAATTTTTAATCAGAATGCAATTCAATAGCTATTATTATCTTTATTGTTAAGCAGAGGTTCTAAGAGTTTATTGACTCCATTGGACAGTTAAAGAGATGACTTGGCTTTTAAAGAACAGAGACAATGTTCCACAGTCCTTAAGGGTGACATAGAAGAGTTTTAGCACTACTTTGAGAATTGTTTGTTGGTCTCTGATTGTTGTTTAATTATGAAACATGCAACCCCCTTACCATTGTTCTCTTTTTTCGTTTGTTTGTTTTCTTTTGTTTCTTCTTGACCCATCAGTTAGTAATTGTCAGAAGCAGGACTCAACCCAGAGCTGCCCCTACTTTCACAGTGCCCCTGCATCATACTAGCTCTTGCCTGTACAATCTCTGCCGCTACTCCCAGTAACTCGTAACTCCTGGCACACATTTCTGAAATGTCATTTAGGGGCTCAGGAATTTTCAGCCACTAAGAGAGGAAAGCTAGCTAACATTGATAGGAATCAAAATTTTGCGTGTTTTAACTAAGGAAACCAACCAGCTGCTTATAACCATGGTTGTATGTTTTACTCTTGTACAGTAAAAGTACAAAGTAATGTATGACTGTTAAGGAATGCTTGTAGCCGGAAGTTTTAATATCTATTAACCAGGACCAAAGAAGTTACAAGTTAAAATACATATTGGGTTCTCCCATGTGTGCTATGTATTGAGAGTGAAGATTTAGCTGTTATCTATAAACCACGTTGTTGTCACCTTCTGACCGCACCGGTTCTTCTGAGGGAGACTTGGATCGTGAGCTGTCCTGACAGTGAACACGGCAGTTCAAATTATAGTAGAATGATTCTGCAAAGCTGAGTTTTGGAAGGGCAGACCAACATTACAGTATTTATTGAAACCGATTATTTTGAAAAGAAAACTAGCCAAAAGGGTTTGTCATTTGGCCCATTCCATTTCTGGGAAAGTGGAATTAGTGGATCAGTGGAGTATTAATCTCTGCTTCAGTTTTCTTAAATCTCCCTTGATTGCCCCAGCCTCTTCGTCTAGCCATGTCTGGTCCCTTCTTTCTTTGTCTTCTCTTCCCCTTGTCTTGCTCAGTATTCCCTTTGTATACTCTGACCCCTGTAAAGAAAAACAGAGTGGTAATCATTCTGGTGAATACTTCAATGCAGACTGCTTATAAGTCTCTGTAAAAAGAGAATTAACCCAGAATATATGTTCATTTTATGAATTTCCTGCCTGAATTATTTGCTTTAACAAGTGTATCTTGTCTGAACGTCTTACTGCGTTTATGTTAGTGAGCTGTGAGTGACAGAATTAGGTTAATGGTTAAAAGCACAGGTTTTGGAATTGAAAATAATTGTTTCAACCCTTACCTTCCCCTTTTGTGCTGAGCTAAATAGTAATACCATCATATTTTGGGTTGTTATAGGAATAAATGCAGTAACACATGTAAATCACTGAACTGAGTGCCTGTCTTCAAAAATACTGTGCAAATGGTGTTTTATAAAAGCATAATTATGAGAAATTTTGTTTGTATATTTAGAAGTTTCTAATAGTTACTAATTTGAATAAAGAGTAATAGAATAAAATAATAGAACAGCTTGGGCCCTAATGAGTCGAATAATCTGTAAGTGATGACATAAAGTGAATCTTTTTCGCTAAAACACAACCTATCTGTGATACAAAATGCCCTGGTTCTTCAGCACAAGCTTTGCAGTGGATTCTTCTGGGGTTGCCCCAGTCATGTATTTCAACACACAGAGGGAGTATTTGTTTGGCAAATGGGGTGGGCAGTGTGGGCCCAAACTTTGTCCAAAAGCACGAAATGATGGTAGTTTGCTCTGATGCATTTGATTTGGTGATTTTTCAGAGACCTGAGTGACAACGCAATCATGTCTTTACAAGGCAATGCATTTTCACAAATGAAGAAACTGCAACAATTGTAAGCTTTTCTTTTCCTTCTAGGAGTCTGAAAGTATAGAGGGGAAAACTGTCATATGGTGTGTCACCCTAGCTTATGTATCTATAAAAAGTGCCTGGCACATTCTTAACATTATTTAATTTTTATACCAGACAACAAAAAAGGAATTTATTTGTTCTTTTTGTTGAAATGAGTTTTTCTTTCTATTTTAAATTTGCAACTTTGTGGGACCAAATATAGTACAGTCACTCAATATAGTATTAATTTTTCAGTTGTAAGGAACTTTTGATAAATCAACACTTCTGTCTCCTTGGGACAGTAAGAACAACAGAAAATCATGCTAGATACATTTCTTGTATTTTAAAATGGACCGTAGAATGCTTATTCCATGGGATGTGTGTATTCAGTTTCCAAATTCATTGCTTTGTTAATATTTACTTGGGTTTAGTTTACTTGTAGAAATCTGCATTTCATACAGAACAAATTGAATATAATTACTCTCCTCAGGCATTTAAATACATCAAGTCTTTTGTGTGATTGCCAACTAAAATGGCTCCCACAGTGGGTGGTGGAAAACAACTTTCAGAGCTTTGTAAATGCCAGTTGTGCCCATCCTCAGCTACTAAAAGGAAGAAGCATTTTTGCTGTTAGCCCAGATGGCTTTGTGTGTGGTGAGTATAAGTATTGCCCTTGCCTTTTATTTATTCTTCTTTTTTCCCCTCCCATTTATCCAAATAATGGTTTCGAATAGATTTATGATCTCTTTATAAAGCTTTTATTTCTGCTGAGGTAGAGGAAAATGGGTCTATAGTTTGCTGATTATTTTAATTTCACAGATGGGAAAGAGAGTTTTCTAAAATTGCTTCATCTTTGTTTTGGCATCAGGATGGTGTGGTGGAAAAAGAATGAAATTGGATCTTGAGAGAATGGAAGGATAATCCCAGCCCTTCTACTTAACTTAAATTCCCTAAATGTTAGTCTCTGCATCCATGAAATGGGGACTCTCTTTTCTTCTCTTCCCAACTCTGAGGCTTGTTGGGAGGCTTACATGAAAGAGATAATTATTAATGATTTATGGGGTGCTAAAAAAATATTGGTAGGTAACATTTACAAGTAATAGGAAATGTGAATTTATTATAAATAATTTTAAGGTCCGTTGTTTTAGCATCCGAGAATCTCAGCATTAGAAATCTAGTTACCTAAACTTTACATAGCTGGATAGTAGCAGATCTGGATTTAAAAGAAAAGTATTCATCTCTGGTGCAATTTTCTGTCTATTACATGATGCTGCTATTTACTATTAGCTGCCGTGGAGACCTCTGTAAAAGTAAATATGTTTTATAAAACAATAAATCAGAATTTGCTTATATTTAAGCATGGGTGTTAAAATATTAAGAACCTTCTTTTGCATTGGCATTTAAAAATTTATTTAAAACTGCTTTGTCCACGATATATATTTTTAGGTTGCAGCATTAAGCAGTGCCAGTAGTTTCTGGAAATAAAACCTCTGATGTAGCTTTTGGAACTGAATAAGCTTTTGGCATTCATCTGTAAGGGCCTGAACTGCTCCTTTCCCATGGTCCTTATTTCATAGTTTTTTTCGTCCCAAGATCTGATCCCCCTATTACTTTGAAACACATATATAGTGTCCATAGTTTTTTTCACTTCCCTGTGAATCTGAACATCGATTTATTAGATGAGAATTTCAGAATAATACAGAAAAGAAACCACCTCGATTACAGTATGCAGACATTGAAAAATAGCAGCATTGGAGTTATCAAAGCATCCCCCATAACCCACTCAACACACATAAAAAGTTTTTTCAAATAGTAGTAGCACCCAAATAGTACACTTTGGTAGATCTCAGATGTTTCCTTCTGAGTTTACATCATCATCACTGAGAAACTGAAGTTCAAAAAGGTAACTTTTCCAAAAAGTAACAGAGCACTAAAAATAACTGTTTAGAATGAAAGAGTTGCTTAGCTCTAATTATAATGTAGCTTTGACAGGGTAGCACAGCAGCGTGATTGGCCGCTCAAAGCTCCAGGCCGAAGCCAGTGTCTTACAGTTTGTTTTAGAGATGCTTTTTCTTTTGCTATCAGCTTTTTTTTTTTTTTGGATCTACTTAAAGTACTGCTTTTTAATAGTGGTTCTGTTTTGGTAAATGGAGTGTTAATGGCTGTCTTTGTTGAGTAATCATGATTGATGTTTGATTTCTTAATTTTGCTGCTCCTTATCTGGAGAGAACATGGGAACAATTGCAGTTTCGTGATAGTAGTAGCATTCAGAAATGATCCATAAGCCTGGAAGTTTTTAAACTGCTTTCTTCTTGTACTTATACAAAGCATAAGGGGTCAGGAATAAACTGTGGATTTTCTGATAGCCCCAAAATAACAGTCTTTTCTCAGGTAATACTGATTGATAAATAGATCTCCATCTGTATTTGAGATGAATGAGTTACTTTATAAACTCTCATTTCAACACGGGGACTGCTAGTCCATCTGGAAAACATACACAAAGGGTAAAACCCAGGCCGCTGTTTTTGCATTTCTTGGTGTTCAGATTTGAGTAGTATTTGGACTCTTGAGCCTTAACATTGTTT